GATCCCATTGGTGCACGAATCCATGCTCTGGGCTTCTAGTTTATAAATAAATGTTGACTCGTGCATGCGCGATATTTGTCCCTGTCTGACACTGGCCTCCCATTTAAGTTAATTCAAAGACAGTTTCCCGTGATGCTGGCATTTGCAATGACTATTAATAAATCACAAGGACAAACTCTAGACAGAGTAGGAATATGCCTGCCTGAATTTGTTTTCAGACACGGTCAATTATATGTTGCTTTCTCTTGAGTTCAAAGAGTATGTGACATTAAAGTTGAAGTTGTAAATACTTCATCACAAGGGAAATTATTCAAGCACTCTGAAAGTGTTTTTACTCTTAATGTGGTATACAGTGAGATATTAGAATAAGTTAAATCAATGTATCAGTCATTGTATCAATGTTGTTTTTCTATCATGTTTTGGTTGTTTTTATACCATGTTTTTATTGTTTTTACATCATGTCTTTGTTGTTGTTATATCATGTTGTTATTGCTTATTTATTAATAAATTTATATATTCCTTTTCAAATACATTTTACTAATTTTCTTTCATCTCTAACACTTCTATTATAGCGAAAGGGTGAATAGCAATATTAGAATATTTCTCTAATTACTTTCTTTTCAATGTGCATGAATCCAGCCACTAGTATACAATAAAACTACAACGTCAGTTTGGGGGATATATTTAGAATTACAGAATTCCACTTTTAAAAACCTATTAGAGTAATTGACATTTTAAGGTTATATAGAAACACATGCTCTCTAAAAGAGGAGGAAATGGAAGAGGACTGACATTTATTAAATGTTTGTAGTATCTCCTTTTATCCCCATAACAGATGAATGTGTGAGTGATAGTACTCTGATTTTACAATCTTAGATTTATTAAATGCCCTTTCCCAAGGGTACATGATTAGTAAGTGCAATTTACATTCTAACTTAATCAAAGGTCACGTGTTCTAGTGTGAAATGTCATTCCATCTCTAGAAGCTAAATGAAGAGGGAAGGTGGGAGAAATGTGTGTATAAATAGTATAAAGAGAGGAATTATTTCACTGAGCACTGAAAGAGTTCGTATCAAAAAGAAAATACTATGAAACATGAAAATAGGAGAAGTGACATGTAAAGAAATAAGCAGTAATGCATTTGGGTAGGAAATCTGCTTTTAATATAACTTCAACTTGATTTAGTTATATTTACACTGTGCTCTGAATTATTATCTACAGGCAAAGTCATCCAGAAAATTAAGGGAGGCATATTTGATAAACATAAAAAATAAAATTTTGACAGAATAAAATAAACAACATTTAGTAATTACATTAAGCATGTTTTCAATCCCATAGTAAGCTATTTAAAATAGAACAACTGTTCAAAGCATGCTGCCAAATGTCTTCAAAATGACTTGTTATGAAATGTTGATAAATATCCCAAAACTCTATATCAACTTTAGTATAATTAAACATTCTTCAGACCAAAAACAGAGTTTTTATTTATATTCTGAAATGTAAATTCCACGTGACTTTCTCCTTCATATTAGAACCAAAAAGATTATCCATTTGTTAACATTCACAACAATTTTCAGAAAGTTTCCACTAGTTATATAGGCTTTATAATTTATAAATGGCTTCCACATATTTAATTCCAAAATTAAACCTACTAGGGAACATTTTGTTGTAATATTCATATTTTACATTGTAAGCATTTAGCACACAATTATTTAATAAATATATATTCACTGTTTACTAAATAATATTTACTGGATGAATTGAATGAATGAATGATTAAATTTAGTTCAGATTGAAGTGACTCGAGAAGTGGCCAAGCCCGAGTCCCATCTTCTGATTTCTCAGGAAGGCCATGATTAGAAACCTGGATAACTTTACGTAGTAAGTGGTTTTATCGGTACACACACAACCAAACATGATATGTTCAGTGATACTTCAAATGTTCACTGTGTGGCTTCTCTGTGGTAATGATAATTCATCGTTGCAAAGAGTATGGTGCTTTAATGCAGCCTTTTACATCAGTCCCCACACACGCATTTGAAACGCATTGCCTCAGGTGATTTGTATTGCTGGTTGTTGCTGAATAAACCTGTACCTATGGCATTCAAGAAAAGAAGGTTCTATGCGTAAACAAATTACCTTTATTTCTAGAATTTATGGCTCCTTGCTTGCTTGCTTGTTCTCCCTCCCCCCGCCACACAAAAGCTGCTTCATTCCTTGCATGCCCACAAGTATGGGAAATAATGGGCTATCCCCTGATATTTAGTCCTACTTCACAGACGGAAGCCATGTAAGGCTGTTGCCATACTAGAACAACATTATGCCAAAGTTCAGGTCAGAAACTTGAGATCAGTCACTTCTGTTTTTTATTCCTGTTACCCTTGGCCACTCTGTCTTGCCCCCTGCCCCTGTCAAAATAAAATCATCTCGTGTTTTGTATTCTTTACCACCATTGATATATTTCCCAGAACTTCCCCCTGTACCCTGTGCAACTGGAATTTGATTTGTAAACCGATTCTCCTTCAGTGCTATTCAAATAACACTCTCCATGCCTTTCTTTGCCTTATTTGAAATGGGTTCTTCTAGAAGGCACTGCTTCCCTGTGAGCCTTCCCCAAGAAGTTGCTCCTTCTTTCAATTGCCATGTGTCTTGACATGGTGCTTGCACCATGAGGAAGCATGAAACAGTCTACTTGAAATTCTCCTTTTTATTTTATTTTTTTAAGTTCACACCATTTGTCCCGCTGTCTAGTTTCTTTGTCACTATAATCCTACCAATCACTTCTGTTTTTCATGTGGAGTGCTTATATCTAGTTTACTGTTTTCCTCTATGCCACAACCCCTATTAAGAAATTTTGACTATCAAGTGGGTGACTTATCCAATGTCTTACCATTATCATTCCTTGGTTCTCTCAAATGTAATGGTCTTCTATGGCAATGTGTGTGTGTATATATATATGTATTATTTTTTGTTTTTTGTCAAATGTGAAATAGCATCCAACTCTAAAATTTTAAATTGTTATATTCTAACCCAGCGGTTCTCAACCTGTGGGTCGCGACCCCTCTGGCGGTCGAACGACCCTTTCACAGAGGTCGCCTAAGACCATCCTGCATATCAGATATTTTAATTACGATTCATAACAATAGCAACATTGCAGTTATGAGGTAGCAACGAAAATAATTTTATGGTTGGGTCTCAACATGAGGAACTGTATTTAAAGGGCCAGAAGGTTGAGAACCACTATTCTAACTAGAGGCCCAGTGCACAAAATTTGTTAAAGGGGCTCAGCCCTCACAACCCCAGCTGCCTCAACCCTCGAAGCCTGGCTGCTTTGTGGCCCTGGCTGCCTCACGGCCCACGTGGTCCTATAACCCCACCCACAGGTCATTCTGGAAGGTTGTCTGGAAGGTCGTTCTGAAAGCTCATTCTGCCATCTGGTCTAATTAGCATATTAGCACTTTGTTATATAGGATCTCTGTCCCAAACCTCCTGCCCTTAAGATTCTCTACACTTTGATTTTGTTTGGTGCCCAGACACTTCCCTACTCCTTTTTCTTCAAGTATGTCAGGCCACAGCGGGCTTCATCCTGCACCCTAAAGTCCATGCTACATAGAACATTTATACTCAACCTGTGGTCCATAAACCAGCAACATCTTAGGAACTTGTAAGAAATGCAATTCCCTTGGCCTCCACCCCACATTTACTAAAGTCAGAAACTCTGATAGTGGAGCCCACAGCAATCTGTGTTTTAAAAAGCTCTCCAGTTGATCTGATACCCTTAAAATTTGAGAACCTCTAATATGGAACGTTAATTCAACTGGTCTCTTGCCAGCACCCAAAGGTGAATGCATCATTATTTTGTTCCAAAATCCTTCCATGTTTAAGATTTCTAAAAATGCACCAAGTTCTCCAGCTTTATTAAATAAAGTACCCTTTCCATCTACGACCACCTTCACTTCAAATGCACTTTGTAGGTCCTATTTATCTAAATTTGAATACTGTAAAACCATCAAATGCCCACTATTTAATGATACTTCCACAGGCATTTTCCTGATAATAATCCTCAGTGGAGAATCCTGAGCAATGCTACTGGCTCAAGGTCACTTATATAAGAAGGGATGGGACCAAAATTTGAATTCAGGTCTATTGAGTACAAATCTATGCTTTTTTTATTTCACCGCTGAATTATATAAACCAAAAATTGCATTGATATGCCTCTGGTTGAGGCAGCACCTACAAATTCCCTATAGAATTTTTAAAAGTGAGTTACATAAAAATCTATTATCAAATCACTTTGATAAACATCAGGTTAAATAGTTGTTTTTAATTGTAGGACTTTTAAGACCCTTTAATATCTTCGATGTCTACTGATTCCTTTATTTCATCTGCTCTTATCTTCTTTATTTCCTCGTAGTTTTAAACTTTTCCCACTAGGTTTGCTCTCCTGCCTTAGGGATGTGTTCAGAGGAGTTATTAGCATGCAGTGTTATAGATATAGTGTATATGTATGTATATGCACTACTTCATGTAAAGCTCAATAACTTTGTGATGATAACATGAAATTACAAATATTATAGCATCACAGTACTGTGACATGTACATATCCAATCCAGAATAAGCTGTGTTAGGGTAACAGCCTGCATGGTATTGCTTTCCTGCCTAACCCATGCTGAACGTAAGCATTACAACTTGAATTGAGATAGTGTCTTCCTGCAACTGACATGTGTATTCCTAACACTATTCAGAGGGGCATTTGGGGCTGGATTTTATTTAAGAATCAACCAAAGTTTAAATTGGACATGACTGAGTTATGACGTGAAAGTATATTCACTATTAAACAGTTAACGTATGTAATTGCAGCTCACTGAATAGTAGAAATGTAATTTTACTATTCATTTCATGTCATTTTCACTAGAAGTTGGTTAAACCACAGGGAATTGTGTTTAACAGATGTTTCCTGGTGCAGCGTGTTATCTCTCTCTCTCTCTTTCATCATGCAGGTTCTACTGACCTTCTTCTGTGTGTTCCGTGCTCTTCTTGTCCTACTCTGGTCTACTCTGGTATGTTTGCTCAAGGCACTGACTGTTAGTGTCGGGTAATTAAGGGCACTATCCTACAACTGCTCAGAGGTCAGGTTTACTAACATAGTCTTCATGACCTCTAACGAGAAAAAGGATTTTCCTCCCAGTACTCTGCACAAGGTTTCCTTCTTTTTTTGTGATGTTGTGTGGCTCTCTGACTCCTCACTGAATCTGTACTCACTGGGGAGGTAGAATGGGAATTTGAACCTTTCTTCTTGGCAGTAAAATCACTTTTAAATATATGTGAGATGAAAACATATTCTCCCACTGTGCAGTCCACGGACTCGATAGCACCATCAAATATATCCCGGAGACACAACATCTCAGAACAATTCCAAATCCATGGACGTGAGGCTAGCCTATGAAGTGACTATATAAACATGAGCAGTTCACAGTATATTCTCTCAAGTATGTCACAGAGAGAAGCAAAGGTTGAGTTTGTTCTTAGCGCTCAGAGTCACAGTTTTTCAAAATTAGAAAGAACTTAGAACTATGTCTCTTCCAATATAATGCTGGTCGTTTCTCCGCACAACCCCTGCCGAATGGTCACCCAGCTTCTACATGAAATGAGAAGTATACTTCCTACTTTTGCAGCTCATTCAGTTTCGTTCTGCTCTGATTGCCCACTGACCCAATAATTCTATATGAATAAATCACCTTAAAAAACAATCTGTGCAATGCAGCACTGTACAGTTACCAGAATGTTATTATGTGCATTGCACATGTTTTATAATAAAACAGAACTGTTTTATAATGTAGAAAACATGTAAACATTTAAAAATCATCTAATGATCAACAAAAGAGGATTGATTAAAAATGTATAGCAATCTACATAATGGAATATGGATGAGTTTAACTGGGTATATACATATATTTATGCTGACATTAACTGGATAGATCTACCTACCTATATCTATATATATTCTAATGTGGAAAAAATTTATATTTTTACATAAAATGTGAGTCACAGTATATTAAGTGTAATTTAGTTTTGTTGTATATGACACATAGACACACACAGTTATGTATTTACATCTGCACAATACTGTTTAAGTGGTTACAAAAATTGTCGCAAAAAGCCATGTTCATTGCAGCATTATTTATAATAGCCAAGATAGGAAACAACAGAACTGTTCATTAGTAGGTGAATGGGTAAAGTTGACACGTCTTTTTTAAATATGCTACACTACAGACATGTCATTAAGCACATTTTTTTTTGTTTTGTTTCTCTCCTACAGGTCTGTGAAACAGGCAGAGATTGCAAGTGGTCCTTAAGGAAATTGCAATTATTCAAATCCTTATGTATAGATCTAATTTTATTTACTATGTGTAATCATTTAAAGAATGGTTATTTTTATAATATCAATAACAAACAAGTACTCTTGTAACCAGGGGGTGCCCTAAGTCAGTAATCAGAGAACAGTAACCCTGGCAAAGGATTCTGGGGTGGTCAGCATGCCTGTTGCCTTTTGACATGGTCGGTGCCCTGGGTTTAGATTACTTTATATCTAGCTATGAAGATTACTATTTGATACACTAAATATTGCCTGAGTCAGAAGACTTTGCTTAAAATTTTTCTGTATTTTAACTTGTCTAGGATTTTCTATTTCTTATATTTTTATAATATTTTCTCATTTTTTTAGATTAATAAACATTATACTTACCCACATATGCCAGGATGTGCCACTTAGGTATCTCTGGGAGTTAGCTGTTCAGTGTCATGACCTGCTCTATATGTTCTGTGCAGAGTGAGGTGCATTCTCCACCACTGATCCTTTCTGCAATTATTGTCCCTGCTCCTAGCAAAACATATAATTTATATGTTAATTCACTAAAGCAGATCAATAAGGAATGAAGTGCATGCCCCAACGCATATCAATAAAAACTGTTTGCCCATTTACGCAGTTATTGAACCCAACTAAGACTATCCATTTTAAAGTTGATATATGCTTGCTTTTGGACTGTGTTATGCATTGATACAAAGTGAATGGATCTAAGTAATTTATTGGGCATCTCAACTATTTTATTTAATTGTCTTAACCTAAGTTTTCTTTCTGGACCTTTAAGGCATATGATTAAATGATAAAACTGCCTGTATAACTGTCAAAAAAACAAATGTTAAAGGCCAGACATGGCTAAAGAATAAAAAAAGAAATTCCTATTGTATGAATGAAGTTATACTCCTTAGTCAAATAATACATTTTCGTACATTAACATTTTCTTGAGTATAGAAACTCATGAGACTGTTTTTCATAAAAGTTGTATTTAATAGGTGGAAACAAATTAAAGGCTTAGAAAACAGTATATTTTTTAGCAGAACAGAAAACACAAGAGAGTAAGTTTACAGGACCAGGCCAGTTCTCTATTTAAATATCCTTAGCATGGAGAATATTTCTTTTAAAATGTTTAACTGATGATCCAAATATTTGTCATATTCATAATAGTGTTTCTTGAAAATGTGTTATCCCTAATGCCTTCATCTGAACCATACTTTCCTCCAACCATCATTTGGTCAGTTTTTGTCATTCTCTTGTCCACTGACCTGTTTCTGGGGACAGTCACCCTCCTAAGTGCTACATCAACCTCAGGAATCAGATCTACCAGGATATCAAGTGTCTATTTTTTTAAAAAAAACTCTACCAAAGACAAACAAAGCCAGACACTAATTCAAGTGGCAATATAGATTTTAATCAGTGATAAACTATTGCGTTAGGGAAGAGGACCCAGCATGAACTGAACTCAACTTCGGTTTATGCAGAGGTGACTGGATATTCTGAAAGGTGTGTGAGGAGTAGGAGTGGGGAATTGCTTGTGCTTGAACAGAGTTGGGGAAATGGACATTTTTAGAAGGGGGCTGTTCCGTGTGAAACTCATCTGAGTTCACCCACTGTTGCTTATTATCAAAGTTTTAGTTCTACCCTCCCACAGAGACTGGGAAACGGGGTCTGTCTTCAGGTGTTGGCTGAAACAATCAGTGAATCCTTTTGGCGACCCTTAGCTCTCCCAGACAGGAACTAAAGAGGGCACAGGTCATCTCCTAGGGATGCTGCCTTGAGTTGTTAGAAACTATGTGAGCGTTCGTTCAAGTCTTTTAATGTGACAGTGTGTTGTGGTGGATGAAATTATCTGTACTGAGAATCTGTGGTTTTTACAGGCCAAGTTTCAGGTCTGGTCAAGAAGAGGGCTCAGAAAAGCCAGGCTAGAGTGTTACCAAGGACAGAATCTTTGTCTATGCCAACTAGGCAGGACACACACACAGACAGACACACACTCCACAACCTTTGCTCTCTCTTCTTTGTCAACTCCAAAGACAGATGTCAAAGGCAGTAAACAACTAGAACCCAAATTAGGAAATTCTTCAGGATTGTTTTCCTAGTTCCTGTTTCAAGTGTTACATGTGAAATCAGAATCTGTTAGCATTCATCTGGGCTGCCATTACTCATTTTGCCTCTTTTGCATTTTTTTTTAACAAAGATCCAGAGTCATTTCAATGGTAGGGCTTGAAAACCTCATGGGAAAGAGGGCTTTAGAAATATTCCTCAGAGTTTCTATGCAAACATCACTTCTGTAGAGAGATGGCTTTGGCCGTAAGTCATGCCATGGCCTCTGGGGTCCCTGACTAGTTGTCTCTGACCTTCTAGTCATAGAGGCCAGATCCTCAACTCTCCAGAGCATCACAGTCTAGTAGAGGAAACATACATATGAACAGATAATTTAAATAAAATGTGGTAATGGGCAGTGAGGATGACCTTTATAAGCTAGATTCTTAGGGGAGCACAAAAGAGCAGTTGTGAACCCATCTGGGGATCTGGACTTGGAAGAGTATGAGTTGTGGGGTGGGTGGGAAGTCAAAGAAGGATCCACAGAAAAGATAATACCTAAGCTGGTTCCCTAAAAATTAGATAGAGTCAATGGAGCAACAAAGGCAAATCGAGGGTTTTAGTGGGAGCAACAGCATGAACCCAGTTTGGAAGTCTGGATCGGCAGAGTGTGCATGAGGATGAGAACAAAAGACACATGGTATTTATTACTGGAGCACACAGAGTATGTTAGGAGGTGGCAGTTGACGGGCAGAGAAGTGGGCATGAACTGGGCTAGGAAAAATTGTCTATGGCATTCTGTGGTCTTTAACACAGGTCACTCATCCAAATCACTGATGCTTAAGCCTCTCTGGGATTAAGATGCAGCTGGTTTAAGGTGGAACCCAGTGATCATTATTTATTTAAAAGCTTTTTACTTGATTCTAATGAATAGCCAAGGATGAAAGCCATTGCCAACGAGAGCAGCTAAATATTTTCCACAGGAGAAAGGCAAGTGACGCTGTCTGATGGATAGCTAGGACAGCTCACTCTGGCAGCATGGGGAAAATGACAGAGTAGGAAACACAGGGAATGGGCAAACATGGAAAAACTAGTTAGGAAACTGTTTCAGGAGTTAAAAAATAATAAAGCCTTATTTAGATTTATTAAGGCAAATATGTTAAGAATCTAACTGTGGTTGGGATGCTCTGAAAGGCCAGGAAAATGTTGACCACAGGTGAAGCCTCCAGGGGAGAGACAGGCAAGGACTGCAACTCTCTTCATGTGATGTCACTACAGGATACACTAAGAGACGGAGAAGAGCTGGCTATTGCTTTACCTTCTTTCTTTAGAAAAAGAGGATAGCTCCTCCACAGACCACCGAGAATTTCAAGTCCCCCACCCAGCTGTATATAACTTATTCAACACACCCACTGTGTGTCTGACACCTTATTAGATCAGGGGGCCCAGAAGTATTGGAGCAGATGTGGTTCTTGCATTCATGAGCTGGTGGCTGGTATGGGCATAACACTGACAAACAGTCACTTACTATGGAGTTTAAGAGTGTGACTCAGGTTGCTAAGGGATCACACCTGAGTAATATCTACCTAAATTTCAGATAAGGAATCTTGGGCTGTGGTTAAGCTGTAATCTAAAGAAGGGGGGTGATTCAGGTGAAATTGGGGGAAGTCAAGGTAAATTCGGGATAG